TGCTTCTGTTTTTCAAGTTTCATTTTGTGGTTAATCATATGTTTTTTTTTGCATATAATTTTCGTTGCTGATAATATTAGAGTTTTTTCTAATCCAGTTGTCACGTTTAAGTTCCGATATTTCATTTTCTAACTCAATTGAAAACTTTATTTTGTTATGTTCACTTTTTCCGTGATTTGGTTTAACACGTTTCAGTGGGAATGCTGTATTAAATGCATATGTTAGTTCATCTCAGAAGGACTTGAACATTTCATCTACTGATACAAATTTTGAGAAATCAATATCGATTTTACTCAATAAATATTTAAATTCTGCTACTGAAAGTTGACTAAATATGCGACGAGATATTTTTTCATCAGATGTAAGTGCCTGTTCTATTGTTTCCCATTTCAGTATTTAAACTGAATGATCAGAAATGGCTGGGTCCGTTATACATATATTTAGCGTTCGAAAATCTAAGTTTGTTATTATGTAATCGATAGATGATTTGGTTATTATATTTCCGTATTTTGCTATTCGGGTTGCAACTGATATAGGGTAAATCGCCCAGTTAGCCGGCCACTACCAGTTCTCGGTCATTTTCAGACAATATAGTGAATAAATTAGAAGTTTTGAGTGGAACCGCGATTTCTGAGATATACCTCACTTCAGACTCCCTTTACCCCCCACTTCGCACTAAACGCCATTTTTGCAAGCTTGCGTATGTAAAACAAACGTCATTTAAAAGTTGGCTATGGACGAAGATGTATACATGTGGTCGTTATTTAAAAATTTGTTAGTGTGCACCCCATGCGGAAATAGTGATTATTTTGTAAAATACTGATTCTAAAGGTAAGTTTTTATTATTTTTAGATAAGTAATATGTTCAGCTATTGTTATATTTAGAGCCAAACTGATAAATCATGAATTTTAAATGTTTTGTTTGGTGGCCGGTAAACTGGCTTAATTAAAACTGTCAAACCATTTCTCGACCGAGGTGGCCGAGAGCCGGTCTTAAAAGCAAAATATTGTTTGTCTTCGTTTGTGTCACGACTTGATAATAAGTCGTAACCATTTTACCGGCGTATGTAAGACAGTTAGTACTACAAAATAGCCAGTTTTCGGCCGGGCTATCTAAAAAAAACGCGGCAAATAAAAAAGTTTAAACTAGCGACCGAGAAAAGGTAAATTGGCCCTTTCTCGGCCATTAACTTTAACTTTAAAGGTTTGATTTGTTTTTAATTATTTTGTATCTAACTACGTGTTCTTTTAAATAAATTTGGGAATCCCCAAAACTGAAAAATATAATTTGACGCAAAATACTTACTAAATTATTCTTTTCCAGATGGCCACCACTAAGCACAGCAAAAAATTAAATATGTCAACGCAGGCAAGAAAACTGTTCCGGTACTCGGAAGAAAATTTAATGCTTGCACTAAATTCTGTAAGAGAGGGCAAAATGAGCACAAGAACGGCTGCGAAACATTATAGTGTGCCCAGGACCACTCTCCAAGACAGGGTGTCGGGGAAAACCCCAGACAATTTACGTAAAACGGGCCCAGAGCCAATCATGACTGTCGAAGGAGAAAAACGCATTAGGGATTGGGTCATAAGTCTGGCCAAGTGTGGATTCCCAATAAAAAAGCAAGAACTAATAGAAACAGTAACTAAAATAGCAACAGAAAACGGAAAAATTGAAAAATTCAAAAATGACAGGCCTGGAGAAAAATGGTATATGTGTTTCATCAAACGGCACCCAGAAATACGATTACGTGAGTCCGAGAGTATTAACAAAGCGAGGGCAGTCATCACGAAAGAATATATTAAGTCCTGGTTTTCAGAACTAGAACAGTTCTTAAAAGAAAACAATATTATGGATATCATGGAAGACCCTTCCCGAATTTTTAATGGCGATGAATCAGGTTTTTCATTGTGTCCGAAAACCGGAAAAGTTCTTGCTCCCCGTGGATATAAAAACGTTTATTCAATTAAACAAGGCAACGAAAAAGAAACATTAACAGTGCTCGTAACATTTAATGCCAGTGGTAATATATGTCCTCCACTTGTTGTTTTTCCTTACGTGAGGCCTCCGAAAGCATTGATAAATAATATGCCAGAGAATTGGGTGCTGGGAAAATCTGAAAGTGGGTGGATGAAAAGCGACGTGTTTTACGAATATATCTGCAATGATTTTAACCAGTGGCTTAAAGACAATAATATTAAGAAGCCAATAATATTGTTTATTGATGGACACAGATCACACCTTAATATATTTCTGAGTGAATTTTGTGAAAAAAATGGAGTAGTTTTGTATGCACTTCCTCCAAACACTACTCACATCCTACAACCGGCTGATGTTAGTGTGTTTAGGCCATTAAAACATGAATGGAAGAAGACCATTCGACTATGGCAAAGTGAACAAGACGTGAATACCGCTGTCACAAAGATAAATTTTTGTCAAGTATTTCAGCAGGCGTTAGATAAAGCAGATATGCAACCATGTATTAAAAATGGCTTCCGAAAGTGTGGCTTGTTTCCTTTGAATCCAAACAATGTTGACTACACTAAATGTGTAAAAAATGAATTAGAAAGAAAACACGATAGCATGGAGCATGCAGAAAAAATAAGCTGTGAGGAAGCCCAAGCAGCAAAAAAAGTCATTAAAATTTTAGAAAAGAAATTAAAAAATAGTGGTATTAACACGGACATAATTTATAAAGCAATAAATGATATAACATTTGGTGTTAACAATGACGGAAATGTGAGACAAGAACAAAAAAAGATACATGTTATAAGCAATATTACCATCAATAAGCAGGATACGATTGCGGATAATCTAAATACTTTTCCTTTGGAAGTAGGAACCGTAGTACCTATGGAGTCACTGCAGATTATTCCTGTTGAAGAAATAAATCTAATGGCATTCGATAATATCTCTATAAATCAGTTTTTTGAAGAACCCCAACACGAAGTACTAAATACTGACAAATATGATGCTTGTGAAATGGAAGCGTTGAATGGCGATTGTGCTCGTTATTGTACTATAGAACAAACTAATAATGGCGAACAGAAAACTGACAAAGAAAGCGTTAATATTGAACAAAAGGTTGAGCAGGACAAAGACAAAACTAAGGAGAAATCGGAAGAACTAAAGGAAAATATTGATCCAGATAGTCAAAACGACAAAAGTAACATTGAAGGAATGGATGAAAATGACTCAGTAAATGATAAAAACGAACAGCCAGAAAAGGAAAATGAATATACCACTAAAAATAAAACAACGGAAATTCAATATAAAGAAGAAGAAGAGAGATTTGTGAAAGAGAAAGGCAAAATGCATGAAAAATCTGAACAAAAAAAAGAAATTACCGATCTAGATGTTCAAAATGAAAAAGATGACACTACACAGAAAAATGAAACAATAAATGATAAATTGGAGCAGGCAGAAGAAACAGAGGTACCAGCTTATAAAAAAGAAGAGACAAATTTAAAGACGCAAGAGAACGAGCAAAGTAATAAAACGGAATTGGCAGGAATTAAAAACAAAGAAAGAGATAAAGAAAAATGTGTATCGATAAATGTCGAAACATTTTATACGAAAAAGGAAGTAAGAACGCCATTAAAGAATCTACAAACTGAAGCTGAAACTAAGGACTACGCACCAAAATGGTCCCAAGAAAAAACCCCTACAAAAACTGTGGAAGTTAAAGAAGTGTTAAGCCCATTTTCTCGTCATCTCAGATTTCCGGAGCCTATAAAAAAAGGTTCGGAAAATAAAAAGAAAGAAAAATTGCCGAGTGCTATCTCGTCCAAAGCGTGGAGAAAACATATCGAAAAGCAAGAGCAAGAGAAAAAGAACAAACAAGAAGCGCAACAGAAGAAAAAAGATGAAAGAAAGGAAAAACAAAGTACAAATAGTTCGAAAAAAAATAAAACAGCAAAAAAAAATGTATCCAAGAAATTGAAACTGATGTGTTCTCTTTGCGAAGACGAATTAATAAGTGATACAGAAAATGATTTGTTGAAAAACTTAGGTTGTGATATATGCCCTAAGTGGTTTCATTTAGCTTGCACTGAGTTATCTCATTTATCGTATGATGAAGCTGCAATCAAAAATTTTGTATGTAGTTCGTGCAAATGAGTTTAAAGACAATCAATGCAACTTTAAAAGTATTACTACTGTTTTGAAGAATACCTATACTTATTTTTGTTTAGTTTCAAAGTGTTTTTTGTATTTGTTAGTTTTAAAAATGTAGTGTATGCTTGAGCATATTTTACCGCTTACATGCAATAAAGTTGCTAGGTATTTTGTTATTATTTTCTACTTTTATTTCAATGTTTAATTAACATGGTCGAAAAAAGGGGGTTTTCGGCCACCCGACCGAAAACCGGCATGTCCATGGCCGAGAAAAAAACCACGTGGCCGAGAACTGGCAAAAAGCACATTTTTAATATTTTATTTAAGGAAAGGAAACTAAATAGATTTCTCATTTTTGAATGGACATAAATTAGTTTAGTATACTACAGGCTATCAGATAAAATGATCAAATTTAGAATTAAATCAATCAGGTCTTTTTAAACGTCGGTTTAATGGGAAAATTCAGTTAAGTGGCCGACAACTGGGCAATTCACCCTATGTGATTTTAGTTGAAAGCTTTCAAGGAGATCAGAGAAACATCTGAGATGGGTGGTATTGACAAGCCCGTTAATGTTTAAGTCACCGCAAATAATTATTTGCTTAAATTTATTATGTTCTTTGCTTAACACTTCAGAAAAGCACCTAAAAAATGTATCTATACTACCATTGGGAGATCTATATATTGTTAGTACGCAGCAACGGTCATTTAATAAGCTTATACCTACACATTCAAATGACAATTCTATATTATATTGTGACAAAAACTCAATTACAGTACAGTACTTATACAAATTATTACAGATAAATATCGCAAGACCTCCCTGAGACTGCTGATGCCGGCAGTAACTTCCTAAGAGATGATAGTTAGCCAGCTTTAATGATTCTAATTTATCTGAAGACGCCCAATGTTCAGAACAACAAAATATATTTGGACAATATTTATCTAAAAACATGTTTAAAAAATCTATCTTATTTGCTAAACTTTGTACATTTAAATGGCACAACTTGTAGGATGTAGCATGGTTAGTTCTGTCATTAAGAGTTATGTCGTCTTCCTGCAGTGGATCCATTAAACTTAGAAGATTTATAGAAATTGCGTTTTCTGCAAAAAAAGTACTCACTGATTTCAATACCTTTAGGCCATGTTTCGGGCATGAATAGTTGTTCCTGAAGATCTGATGCAAGCAAGGTTCTACTTTATGTAATACATGAAAGACTAAAAACTTTTCTATTGCCTCATATGTCAGAACAAGAAGCGGGATTTCTCTTTGTAAAAGGCACAATCCTTAATGTCAGACGGCAAATCGAAAAAACTCGTGAGTTCAATACTCCTATGCTTATGTGCTTAGTAGATTGCACAAAGGCCTTCGATAAAGTCAAATGGCAGCAGCTATGGTCCTTCTTCTTCTTTAAGTGCTTTGTCCCAATTGGAGGTTGGATATCATCATCACTATCTTTACTGTATCTACTGCTGCTCACAAAAGTTCTATAGAATTGCATTTAAACCACTCCCTTAAATTCTTTAACCATGACGCTTTCCTTCTTCCTATACTCCTTTCTTCTCTTATCTTTGCCTGAATTATCAGCCTTAGAAGTTCATATTGCTGTCCCCTCATTACGTGTCCCGGATATTGCAACTTTCTTATTTTTATTGCATTCTTTGCTCATTTCTCGCAATACTTCCGTGTTAGTTTTCTTCTGTATCCATGCTATTCTAAGTATTCTTCTGTAACACCACATTTCAAAGGATTGAAACTTATTTATGTGTTCTTGCTTTAATGTCCAGCTTTCAAGTCCATATTGCAGTATCGAAAACACGTAGCAACTCAGTGCTCTTACTTTCAATTCTAATCTAAGATCTTTGTTGCAGAGAGTTGTTTTTAATTTTTACAAACGCATTTTTTGCCATTTCTATCCTAGCTCTTATTTCGGTTGTTTGATCATTATTGTCTGAAATCCAGGTTCCTAGGTATTTGTTTTTGTCAACCCTTGCTATCGGTACATTTCCGAAATGTATGTTTGTTGGTATGTTTGTTTTCTTTGTTATTATCATGTATTTGGTCTTATATATTTGGTTATATTCATTTTTAGTCCACATTTTTTACAGAAACTGTTTATTTTGTTTAGCAGTAATTGGAATTGTTCATCAGAGCTTGCCATAATTACGGTGTCATCTGTATATCTTATGTTGTTAATAGATCTTCCGTTAATTATTATTCCTTCACTTTAAGATAGTAATGCTTCTTCAAAAATGGCTTCACTATATACATTAAATAGTAATGGGGACATAATACATCCCCGCTTAACTCCTCTCCTGATTTTAATTTCTGGACTGGATTCATTATCTATTACGATTTGTGCTTTTTGATTCCAGTAGAGGTTTGTTATTATTCATAAGTCCCTGTGGTCTATGTTTTGTGTCTTTAGAATTTGGACTAATTTTTCATGTCTTACTTTGTCAAATGCTTTTTTAAAATCAACGTAATAAACATGCACTTCAAAATTCATATACATACATCTTTGAGCTAACATATTAAAAGCAAATAAGGCTTCTCTGGTTCCTAGTACGTTTCTGAACCTAAACTGACTATCATCTATTCCTTCTTCTACCTTTTTATTTATACAATCATGTATTATTTTCAGAAAAAATTTGAGAATGTGACTTATTAGTGATATTGTTCTGTATCCACTTCATTTGTATTTTTAGGAATAGCACAAAAGGTGTAGAGTAACCATTGTTTTGGTATGTATTTTTTTTGTATTCTGAGTTAAATAAGTCTACTATAATGTCTAAGGTTTCATCATTCATGCATTTTAAGATGGTCCATATGGTCCATACTAGCGAAAATGGGAACACCTTACCACTTAATTCAACCAATTACAAGTCTATATGAAAATAATAAGCGCACAGTAAAAATAAACAGCACTCATTGCGATAATTTCAGAACGGAGGCAGGTGTCAGGATGCATAATCTCATTACTCTGTTTAATATCTACAGCGAACACATTATGTGAAAGGTACTAGAAGGATGAAAGGGTGTAATACAGAAAGTCAATAAATCTGTATCTTGAGATATGCTGATGACACTTTAATAATCGCGGCAATCAAGAAAAAATAGAAGACATAATGAGATATCTGGAGGAGAAAAGCAAATCATATGGACTAAAGTAGTAGACAGAGCTTAAAATAGTCTTCAACACATTAAAGAAATTCGGTACTTTGAAATAGTAAATAATTTCATATACATGGGATTGCTAATAACAAAAGACGGAGGTGTGACAGAGAGATACGTAGAAGGTTGATTATTGCTAGAACAGCTATGATGAAACTGGTATCCATTTGAAAAAATTCTAGCATAACAACATACATAAAACTAAAGCTGGTAAAGGCACTCATTTTTCCAATAGCCACATATGCATCCGAAACGTAGAACTTAAAGAAAGCGGATAAAAACAAACTAGACGCTTTTGAAATGTGGGTATACCGCTGCTTGTTAAGAATATCTTGGATTGATTATCGCACTTATCGATATTAGAACAACTTAAAGTGAAGGATAGATTGCTTAAATAAATACAACAGGGATATTTGCAGTATTTTGGACACATTGCTTGAAGAACGGGTATGATAGAAAAACTGATAGTCGAGGATAAAATTGAAGGAAAGAGACCTAGGGGAAGATCTCCAAGCCGTTGGGTAGATCAGCCCAACAACAACATAGCATCAACAACTATCCCAGAACAGGCAAGGATGGAGAATAATCGTGAAAAAACTGTAAAGGTCTGAAGGTGTCACCACATCTCAAAAGGGATTAGGACTGTGAAGGAGCAGGATTATTTACGTATCTCCAACATACTGAGAGGTTTTTATATTTTTTTGCACAACAGTATACTTAAATTCTTCCATGAAAATATTCGCTAATAATGGATACAGCGACGATACCAAGAAAATCGAAACGTCAAAAATAAACGTATACTGCAATTTTAGTTACATTCAATTTTGGGTCTAACCCCATATCATCATGGCTTATTCACTCCTGGCGGAGTGTTTGCCACCCTTTTGGGCTGTCTGATTCATTTATTGCGGAGAATCAGTCCGCTGTTGTTTTTTTTTATTATTATAGCAGCGTGTGTGACTTGGCCCTGTCTACAATTTTCCTCCATTCTTTCCGATACTTACAGCGCTCCTTCCAATTGTCGATTCTCAGCTTCTTTATGTCTCCTAAGACTTGATCTCTCCATCTTGTTTTGGGTCTCCCCTTTAGTCTCTTTGTTGTTGGTCTCCATCCAGTTATTCGCTTTAGCGTAGAGTCTGGGTTAGCTCTTTCTGTGTGCCCCAGCCACCTGAGCCTTTGCGTCTTAACAAACTTGATTATGTCCTCACACTCGATGACTTCTTTAATTTCTTTATTGGTTAATCTTCTAAATTCCCTACACTTATCCTCACCGGCCCCATTATTCGTCGAATTATCTCTCTCTCTAAGATTTCTAACCTCATTTCATCTTTTTGTGTTAGGCACATCGTCTCTGCACCATAGGTGATCACTGGCCTGATTGCAGTCTTGTAAATTTTTAATTTGGTTTTCTTACTAATGTGTTTTTCTTTCAGGAATTTTTGGTAGTTCCAGTAGGTTTTATTACCCAGTAGGATGCGTTCATTTGTTTCATCTGTTCTATCATTTCTGTCATTTACCATCACTCTCAGGTATTTGAAACGGTGTACTCTTTCTAATGTATATGCACCAAGCTTAATTTCTTTCTCTATGTTCGTCTTCTTTCTTGAACACTTGAGGTATTTCGTTTTGCTTTGGTTTATTACTAGCCCTCTCTTCTTTGCTTCTTTATCTAGTATTCATATTATGTTCTGCATGGTTTTTAAATCTCTAGTAACCAGTGCAATATCGTCTGCATACACAATCAGTTGGGCTGAAGATTCGATAATCGTTCCCATAATTTTGGCTGCTCTTACTGCGCCCTCTATGGCAATGTTAAATAATGTTGTTGACAGGGAGTTTCCCTGTCTGACACCTACCTCCATTTGTACTTCATCTGACGGGCCTTCCTTTGTTAAGATTCCTGCCTTGGATTCCTTCATCGTCATTTTCGTGAGACTTATTAATTTTTCTTGGATGCCTTCTCTTCTTAACATGCCATACACCAAAGTGCGTAGGCGACTATCTCATTACTAGAATTCTGTTCTTGGCGGCGTGACACAGCTCACCTGTATTGTGTATTCCTGTCCATTATTTAATATTCCTTAACCAGGACAATTGTTTGCGGCCGGCTCCTCTCCTACCTTCGATCTTCCCTTGTAGGATTAACTGTGGTATTTCATATTTTGCTCCTCTCAATATGTGCCCAAGGTAACCAATCTTGCGTTTTTTAATTAATTCAAAGAGTTCTCTTTCCACGCCGGCTCTATTAAGGACGTCATATTTTCGAACTCTATCCACCCAAAGTATGCGCATCATTCTTCTCAATGACCACATTTCAAATGCTTCAAGTTTGTTGATAGATGTTTTTTTCAAAGTCCACGTTTCCATGCCATAAAGCAAGATGGACCATATGTAGCACTTGACCATTCTGTAGCGTATTTCGAAGTTTAGGTGTTGATTACATAGGAGCGGTCTGAATTTCACAAAAGCTTGTCTTGCCATTTGTATTCGGGTTTTTATCTCGTGTTGTGGATCCGATTGGTCATTGATTGTGGTGCCAAGGTATTTAAATGTTTTCACGCGATTTATACGATTGTCATCTATGCATAATATCGGGTTTTCTGGAGGGTTTCTGCTAATGACCATATATTTCGTTTTCAAAATGTTGATTTTGAGGCCATATTTTTTACCTATGCTATTCACCCTATCAAGTAATAACTGCTGATCTTCCAAATTATCAGTTATAATCACTGTGTCGTCCGCATAGCGTAGGTTGCTAATTGGTATGCCGTTCACCTTAATGCCTAATTCCGTATCTTCTAATGCTTCCGCAAATATATTTTCAACATATAAATTAAAAAGCATCGAAGAGAGTATGCAGCCTTGGCGGACACCTATCCGGATTTCAAATTCATCCGTATATTGGTCTTGATCAATCCTCACCTTTGCCATTTGGTTCCAGTATAGATTCTGAATAATTCTGATCTCCTTCTGGTCAATGTTGGCCCTATGTAGTAGTTCCATCATGATATCATGTTTAACATTGTCAAATGCCTTCTCGTAGTCGATGAAGGTGAGGTAGACATCTTTTCGTTGATCTAAGCAGTTTTGTATTAAGGTGTTCAAACATAAAATTGCCTCTCTTGTTCCTAGTCCTCCCTTAAAACCGAATTGTGTTGACCCGCTAAGTTCTTCTAGTATCTTATACATTCTTGAGTGTAATATCCTAAGGAAGAGTTTCAACAAGTGACTCATTAAACTGATTAAGCGGTGTTCATTGCATTTTGTGGCATTAGCTGTTTTTGGGATCATCACAAAGGATGACTGCAGCCATTCTCGCGGAATGTAACCAGTATCATAAATTCTATTGAATAGCCTTACCAAGATTTCGATATTCTCCTCGTCTAGTAGTTTTATTGCTTCTATATTATATTATATTATATTCAATTAGGCATCTCTTGGATGCCTAATTGATTCATATCCTTAATTAGCTCCTTCCTTATTACACTGTCAAAAGCTTGCTTGTAGTCAATAAACAGTATATGTAGATCTATTCTGTGCTCGTAACTTTTTTCGACTATTTGCGTTACAATGTGTATTGCATCTATTGTTGACTTACCTTCTCTGAATTCATGTTGGTATTCACCTATTTTTGTTCTAGTTTCTTTTTCTATTCTTTGTCTGATAAAATTAGTTAATATTTTGTACATTGTATTTAATAACGTGATTCCCCTGTAGTTAGTGCATTTCGTCTTGTCGCCTTTTTAGGGATTGGTGTTATCAGACCACAATTCCAGTCGTTCGGCATGCTTTCTTCTTCCCATATTCGTTCTATTAGGTTGTGGATTCTGTGGGCTAGTTCCTCTCCCCCATTCTTAAAGAACTCATTTATAATATCGTCTGGTCCTGCTGCTTTCCTTGTCTTTAATCTGTTTATAGTCGCTAATAGTTCGCTGTATGAGGGAGGCTCAGATTGTTCTCCATTCCTATTTTCTGTTTGTTCTTCATTTTCTGCGTTTTCAGCATCGTCTTTCTTTTTAAACAGTTCTCTATAGTGTGTTTCCCATTCTATTTTTCCAATATTTGCTGGTATCTCTTTTTTTTCTCTGTGATTTTATGTATTTGTATAGTCTTGCATTGTCATTACTATTGGCTTCGAGTTCCTGCAGTAATTCTTCGATCCATTTCTTCTCTTTTCTTTTGCAGCATTTGTCTGACTCTTTCTTCTTCTCTTTATAGTGTAGGAGATCTTCTTGTTTCGCTGTGGCCACCCATCTGTGTGTTGCTTTGTCCTTGTCTTTACTAGTTTGCTCGCATTCTTCATCGTACCAATCCTTTCTTTTATTGTTTTCCATTAATCCTATCGCCTCCTCTGCTGTTGTTTAGATACTATCTTTTATGTCTTCCCATGTTTTATCTATGTTCGATGGTTTTAGGACTAGTAGTTTTTCTTCCAATTTAGTGCAGAATTTTCTGTTTGCATTATCTGTATTTAGTTTCGACCGATTCCACCTCTTTCTTTTCTTTCTATCGTTTTTATCTTTAAGTATTTTCAATTTCATGTCGCCTATCACCAAAATGTGATCCGAATCAGCATTGGCTCCCCTGTAAGACCTTACATTCTGAAAAATTGTTCTCCATTTTTTTGAGATTAGGATGTGGTCTATTTGGTTTCCATCTGTTGTTCCAGGTATTAGCCACGTTACTTTGTGCTCTTTTTTGTGCTTTAATTGAGTGCTAATAATAAAAGTATTGGTTGCTGCTGCTAGATTACATATTCTCCTGCCATTGTTATTCGTATTTTGATGGATTGTTTCTTTTCCTGCGATTTCTTTGTTCGTGTCTTCTTTCCCTATCTTTGCGTTGAAGTCTCCTAATAGGATTAGTATGTCGTTCTTTGGTATTTCTTCGTACAATTTTTCAAGTTTATCATAGAATTCATTCTTTTCTTCTTCAGGAGCATTCTCAGTAGTGGCATATATGTTAACAAATGTTAAATTTGCTTGTTTATTTTTCATTCTAAAATATGATATTCTTCCATCAACCGCTTTAAAGTTAATAATCTTGTCTCTTACGCTGTTACTAACTAGAAAGGCAGTTCCATTGCGCTCCTGTTTGCTTTCTCCTGCGTAGTACATTGTGTAATTTCTTCTCGCAATCATCCCTTCTCCTGCCCACCTTATTTCTTGTAGCGATAGTATTCCCATCTTGTATTTTATCATTTCTTTTGCCAACTCTTCCATTTTGCCTGGTCTTAGAAGTGTTTTGATATTCCACGTTCCTATTCTTATTTTTCTATTTTTGTTTCTTGCTTTATTTTGTTTTGTTTTTGCGTCTTTTCTTACAAAACAGTTTCATGTCCGTATTCATTGCCAACTCCGTTATACTGTCGCTGTCTTTTGTTATATTTTTTGTTAGTTTTTTGAAGTCATTTTCATCAATTTTCCTCTTCGATCTATATTATCAGATATGGGAGATCTGTCGTTTATTGTCCTAGCGTTACCCTTCTTCTCTTCAGGTATCTTCCAGTAATTTACATCTATGCCTTCTAGTTGCTCCAGTGAGAACGGTTCACCATTTATGTATAAATTGTTGTATTTTAATGCGGCTGTGTGTCCTTCCTGGCGTACCATTTTCATGTAATGAAGAAGATGCTTCCTTTCTTCTAGTATTTTCTTCGGGAAGTCCTCATTGATATATATTTTAGTTCCTCTTAGGTTTTTAGCAGCCTTCAGAATTTCCATTCTCGTAGCTTCCTTTTTCATTTCTAATATGATGGGTCTGGGTACATTTTGGGGATCACCTTGTCTGCCTATTCTCCTCATCTCTACCAGTTCTTCATCTAGGTTTATTTGTACGCCGATTTTTTTCATTATCCCCTTTATCTTATTTATCATCTCTTGTTCGCTTTCTGTTTGGTTTTCTTCAATCCCCTGTATTACTATGTTTATTCTTCTAGCTTGTCTTTCCAATATTTCGTTTCTAACTTCTTGTACTGTGATTTTAGTTCTCATTGCTTTGTTATCTGCCTTCAACTGTTCGTTTTCTTTATTTAATTTATCCAGGTTTACTTGCAATTTTTCTATTTTGCTTTCGATTCTTACATTTCTTTCGTCGATTTTCTCTAATTTTTCTAGTATTTGCTCCATTGTACCGCGGTAAGGGTGTCCGCCCAATCGACTTGCCGGAGCTTCAACCCTTCTCTAACCCCATATAAATACACTATTATTGTTTTTTATATTAAAAAAATGTTTTAGGTTCAGTAGTTATTATTAATTATTTCTGTGTTTTATAAATATTTTTTCTTGTCATAAGCCTGCCTTAAATAGGATCATCATTTAATAAAAGTAAAACAACAAAAAATGTAGATATGCTCGGTATTGATTTTAGAAATATTTCTCTCAATTTAGTTGTGTATTTTTAAATTAAAGGAAAATTAAATTTAACTTTTAGTAAAATTCCATTTTAAATTGCTATGAATAAAGTTCCAATCTTTAGCTAGAAACAAAGCCTGTAATCGAAATAACTGTTGTGCCATTTTTCCATTATCGGTTTTTTAATTTTATCATCTCATTATCTAAAAAATTTCATTCCGTTGCCCTAATTAAACACTTAATTTGCTTATACCTAAAAAGAAAATCAATAAAGCATCATTCCTTTACCTTGTTTGTTAGATCCGGTCCTAAATAGACCCTTCTTGAAGAGATCTTAAAGGGCGAGCTAAAGTTTCAAAAAGGTTTTCACGTAAAGCGCCCGAGGAAAACGAGTTCAAGAAAATTTGTTTTCTTGAAAGGACAAAATAATGTGAAGTATGAAAAGCTGTTGGAAATATTTATAAATAAACCTCTTTTTGCCTTTTGGTCGTTCTTCGTGTTTGTAGAGTTGTTATAATTCTGTCGGGAAAGATGGATGATGAGAATATTAATTAGATGTTTTGGCACAACAACTTAACCCACACAGTAACGCAAAAGTTGCAAGTTATTTTAGAAAACTTCCATTAGTTGTCAAAGAATTAATGTAAAGTTAATGGCTGATTTAAATTTTAATTCTATACATACTTGAGTGATTACATCAAAATAAACTTAACAAAATATTATACAGTATGATGCAAATGCATGGAATAAATTCATTATTTCAGAAACAGACAACTTTAAACACGTCAATTTTATTTTTTTAATGACCATCAACTGATATATATATATATATATATATATATATATATATATATATATATATATATATATATATATATATATAACACTGTTTTTGATGGGTTGGAGTCAATAAAAGGGGCTATTTGTTGACTATTTTTTACTCGAGCTTTCAATTGTGATTACAATTTTTATCAAGAGCTTCTAAAAAATACAAAATGTCTTACAAAGTTGAACTAGAAATAAAAAATTTTTTGTTAACTCACCAAATAAAATTAGTTTTTTATATAAAACTACTGCTTACATAATAAATACAAAAAATATTAATAAAAAAATGTCTTATTCTAATAAATGTTTCTCTGAAAAATTTAGATGAAGTTTCTTAAGAAAAAAAATTGAATTTATAAACAAAAATAGAATAGCTACAACCAGCCTAAAATGTCATAAATACTAACTTAAAAATTTTTATTTTTGACATATTGTCAAAAATAAAATTTTGTTTAAAAAATTCTTCTTTGTTTAGTAACAAAAAAGAAGAAGATTTATTCACCATTGATAGATGCCCGAAAAAATGTAACAAATACATGGAAAATTCAAAATGTGATATTTTACTGACTGCATAAATTAAATAGAAATTATATAATTATAAATTTTGCTTAAATTTTGAATTTCTGACCTTTTGTTTAAATTATTATCACTTTTGCTAATACAAACCATTTCCAAAAAAGTTCTTTTAAATTTATTACTTTCATTACATAAAATTTTAATATTATCAAAATCCATAATATGGTCTTTGTCTATTACATGCTCTGCCAAAGCACAAGATGGTTTCTTAATTCTACAATCACTCTTGTGAGAAATAATGCGATTTGAGAGATTTCTTCCAGTCTCACCAATATACTCAGCTTCACACTGAGTACAAACAATGCTGTATACTACATTTGTTTGATCTAATTTGTCTATAGGATATTTAGTTTTGGAATATAAAGATGAAATAGTTTTGATGTTCTTTGTTGCTATTTTTATATTGTCAATAACCTTTAATGTTTGTATTAATTTAGGAGTTAATGATGGTATAAAAGGTAGTGAATGATAATATATGTTTTGATTGTTGGATACAGTGTTTTGAGATTTAGCAAAAAATGGTGTTAAGTTATTTATATTTAATAAATTAGAAAAAAGCATCCTATGTAGCATATCAGGAGGATAAGAGTTTTCAATTAAAATATTTTTTAACAAATGAAGATCTTCTTGTAGGTAGTCTGGATGAGAAAGTTTTAAAACACGTTCCTTTAATCCTGTTATAAGGTTCATTTTCATTTTATTTGGATGATTAGAGTAATAGCTTATAAATCTATTACTACATATGGGTTTTCTGAACCATCTAGTTTTCAACATATTGTCTGTATTTCTTACAATTTTCATGTCAAGGAATGGTAGAGAATTATCTACCTCTTCCTCAACTGTAAATTGTATATGTTGATTATGATTGTTGAAAATGTTGAGTGTTTCAAGAATTTTGTGTTTTATTTTTGATCTAGTTTTGGCACTTCCTAAACACAAAATTCTTGAAACAGTCAACATTTTCAACAATCATAATCAACATATACAATTTACAGTTGAGGAAGAGGTAGATAATTCTCTACCATTCCTTGACATGAAAATTGTAAGAAATACAGACAATATGTTGAAAACTAGATGGTTCAGAAAACCCATATGTAGTAATAGATTTATAAGCTATTACTCTAATCATCCAAATAAAATGAAAATGAACCTTATAACAGGATTAAAGGAACGTGTTTTAAAACTTTCTCATCCAGACTACCTACAAGAAGATCTTCATATGTTAAAAACTATTTTAATTGAAAACTCTTATCCTCCTGATATGCTACATAGGATGCTTTTTTCTAATTTATTAAATATAAATAACTTAACACCATTTTTTGCTAAATCTCAAAACACTGTATCCAACAATCAAAACATATATTATCATTCACTACCTTTTATACCATCATTAACTCCTAAATTATTACAAACATTAAAGGTTATTGACAATATAAAAATAGCAACAAAGAACATCAAAACTATTTCATCTTTATATTCCAAAACTAAATATCCTATAGACAAATTAGATCAAACAAATGTAGTATACAGCATTGTTTGTACTCAGTGTGAAGCTGAGTATATTGGTGAGACTGGAAGAAATCTCTCAAATCGCATTATTTCTCACAAGAGTGATTGTAGAATTAAGAAACCATCTTGTGCTTTGGCAGAGCATGTAATAGACAAAGACCATATTATGGATTTTGATAATATTAAAATTTTATGTAATGAAAGTAATAAATTTAAAAGAACTTTTTTGGAAATGGTTTGTATTAGCAAAAGTGATAATAATTTAAACAAAAGGTCAGAAATTCAAAATTTAAGCAAAATTTATAATTATATAATTTCTATTTAATTTATTCAGTCAGTAAAATATCACATTTTGAATTTTCCATGTATTTGTTACATTTTTTCGGGCATCTATCAATGGTGAATAAATCTTCTTCTTTTTTGTTACTAAACAAAGAAGAATTTTTTAAACAAAATTTTATTTTTGACAATATGTCAAAAATAAAAATTTTTAAGTTAGTATTTATGACTTTTTAGGCTGGTTGTAGCTATTCTATTTTTGTTTATAAATTCAATTTTTTTTCTTAAGAAACTTCATCTAAATTTTTCAGAGAAACATTTATTAGAATAAGACATTTTTTTATTAATATTTTTTGTATTTATTATGTAAGCAGTAGTTTTATATAAAAAACTAATTTTATTTGGTGAGTTAACAAAAAATTTTTTATTTCTAGTTCAACTTTGTAAGACATTTTGTATTTTTTAGAAGCTCTTGATAAAAATTGTAATCACAATTGAAAGCTCGAGTAAAAAATAGTCAACAAATAGCCCCTTTTATTGACTCCAACCCATCAAAAACAGTGTTATATTTTTTCCAAACGAGTCACAAGTACTTCTTTTTTCTTACTCTTATATATATATATATATACATATATATATATATATATATATATATATATATATATATATTATATATATATATATATATATATAGGAAGTAAATTTTAAATATATAGGAAGTAAATTTTACATATTATGTATAAATACATTACTAAGTGTTGTCTTTAAACTACTAACAAAGATCATGACAAATAGACCAAAAACTAAGCTTGACAAATACCATGCAAGAGAACAAGCGAGATTTAGAAAGGGTTTTAGTACTAACGACCATCTGCTAACAGTAAAAATACTGATTGAAAAGTCGAACGAGTATCAAATCCCATTATACATGGCATGCATAGACTTTCGAAAGGCGTTTGACAGCATAGAACACTGGGCCATCAAAAACTTACTACAGAACGGTAGAATTGATTACAGGTACACGGACCTAATAACAAACATATACACAAATTCGAGTACCACAATAAAATGGACGAACGAACACGCTATAGAACCAATAAAATTCGAAAGAGTAATCAGGCAGGAAGACACAATATCGCCAAAATTGTTCAATCAGACTATGGAAGACATATTTAAAAAATTAGAATGGGATACATACGGAATAAGCATAAATGGAGAGCTCTTGAACCACTTGAGATATGCAGACGATATAGTCCTGATAACAGATAAGAAGGAAGAGTTACAGAAGATGGTTGAGAAACTAGATAGAAAAGCGACAGAGGTAGGTCTAGAGATGAACTATAGTGAAACCAAGACTATGACAAACCAAGAAGACCAATTAGAATTAGTAGTCAAACAGAATAAATTAGAGCAGGTGTCAGAATACATATACCTGAGACAGATAATAAAGCTGAATAGGGGCAATCAAACAGAAGAAATAAAAAGAAGAACTAGACTAGCATGGGCCTCATTTGGTAAACTATTATATATTCTAAAAAATAAAAAGTTCTCTCAATATATGCAAACGAAAGTATTCAATCAGTGCA